TACTTCCGTAGTGATACTGCCTCGGAAACCCAAGGAGGGGTCGCTATGAGTCGGGGCCGACTCGATGGCAAACAACAACAACAACAACAACAAGGGGAAAAGAGGGAAGGAGGGAAGTAGGCAGGCAGAGAATATTGAGCATTTGTATTTTAAATTAGGTGGTCTCCTTGAGAAGAGAACATCTTAAAGAGGTAACAATGCAATTGTATGAGATGTTTCACCCAGAGTGTGTTTGCCAACTAAAGAACCAGGTGGCACCAAGTTTGCTATCTGAAACATCAGCATTAGTCAAAACAAATGGAGGAGCAATTGCTATTTGTAGCACATTGGGAATTCTCATCTCCTGGGAGATTGGCCTACATTGTGTCTGCTTTTGAGCCCTGCCATTGACTGTGTTGGAGGGCTCTGCTTGCTTGTGCTTGGCTTTTTTAATGGGTTCTTAGAGGTAATGTATACACATAGTACAAAATTCAACAGGAGGCTTCCCGTCTACCTGTCCCCTAGCTTGCCGGTGTCACACTTAGAAGTAGCTATATTACCTGTTTATTAGTTTCTCAAAGATGTTCTCTGTGTACATAAACTTTAAAAACAAACAAACAAACCACACAAATGTTAACATTTGTGTCCTGGATGTACTTTTTTCACTAGTAGTATATCTTGGTCAATTGTTCCATGTTAATACCTGTAGAGTCACCTTATTCTTTTTAATGCCCACATATTTATAAAATAAATGCTCCCGTAGTTGATTTAGTCAACTATTGATGGATGGTTGAGATGTGTTGAATCTTATGTATGGGATTGTACGTGTAAGTGGTAGAATTGCCAGATCAAAAGGAATGTGTATTTATACTTTGAGAGGTACAATCTAATTGCTCTCGTTTCCATAGAAGTGGTACCAGTTTGTACTCCCACTAACAGTTTAAGTAAGTGCTCCTTTCTCCACAGCTTCACTGGCATAGTGTGTTGTCAAACTGATGTTTGCCAGTCCAGCAGATGAAAACTAGTGCATCTTTGTCATTTAAATTTGCCTTGCTTTTACTATGAACAATGTTGTCCTTCACGTGTGTTGTTTCTAATTACATATTCTTACTATTTTCTTTTCTACTAACATTCTGTCCCTTTTGTCTGTGTTTTAGGTGGGTGAAGAATTGTGTATTTTATATTTTTCACGTCAGGCTGTGGTATTCCAGGGCTTTATTCCCTAAAGCAGTACTAATAAGAAGGAACTTACAACACGTATCATGGGTGTCCATAACTGCTTTCCAAAGGTTACAGAAGGGGTTTAAAATACTAGACATAAACAAGAGCTTCACCTAGATAGCTGATCTTCAAGCTAAGATATAGTCAGCCTCCAAGGAATAATAATGTATTGCATGAGTGTGGGAATAATAGGATCTGAGATGAACACCAAAACTAGGAGGCAAGGAGGGAGGCCAGAACAGGTTTCCATAGTTAGCTCTCAATTATGCTTGGTAAAAGGAAGAGGTAATCAGAACAGGGTAATCCAAAGAGTCATTTTATCTGTTTGGGAATGGTCAGTTAAGGTCCTTACAGCCACCTGACTTGTTCTGGCCTTACGACCCATTTTATGCTTCCCTTTAGTCAGAGATCCGGGCACGAAGGGAGGAAGCACCAAGCAACTGATACTAATCCATCCATACATGACAGCTTACTTTAAAAAGAAGCATTTTAAACTCATTATCAGGCAAAATTTGCAAAACAAAAAGAAGAGTAAAGCCTGACTCTTTCCAAATCACTGACAGCATGGCTGTACTCTCTTCCAGCTGCCGTTGGGTTTCTGACCGTGTCCAGTGTCATCACCATGTCTGCTCCTTTCTTCCTGGGGAAGATCATCGATGTTATTTATACAAACCCAACTGTGGACTATACCTATAAACTGAGCAACCTGTGCCTTGTATTTGCCGGTGTGTTTCTGTGTGGAGCTACTGCTAATGCCATCCGTGTCTACCTCATGCAGACTGCAGGTAAAAAGCCTTCCATCCCTGGTGAGCAAAGAAATGTGTAGGGATCATGTGGATTTGGTTTCGGCCTCTAGTACCATATACTTTTGGGCTCTTACTTCTCCTAGCCTCGGTTTTTTCCTCCCTACATATCACATATAGGGGTCAGATCCCACATCTGGCCTGATGTTGGAGTTATGGGATATTTTATGTCAGGGACTCACTTCTCAATTCTTTTATATGAATTAGAGTGAAGCTGAGAGGGAAATAACCAAATCTATCTTCTGGGAGGTCTGAGAGCAGGCTCTCAGTCTCAAGGCTGGAATTCTGGAGCTCTTCAGGGAACTACAGATGGCCATTATCTCCCCCATGCTTTTGTTTCCCACTCAGCATAATCTGGGCTGATAAATTTTACAATATTTCCCCAAGAGGCCTAGTTGTTAATAAGGCAAGTAACAATCACAATAATGACAGGACCCAGGACACCAAACTCTAAGTCTGTTGCTCACCATTTAGCTAATAAAACACTCTGTAGATCATTAACTGATCTTGCCATTTGAAATTTCCAGAGGAAAGCGTTGATAAGGAGGAACAAAATTAGCTTCTGTAGAGTTAATGTAGCAAAACTTGAGTGTAAATGGTAACTTAAAAATCTCCCAGTCATATTCTATTTGTCGCTGCCTCCTCTCCCCATCATCCATAGTCTGTAGTTACCAAGAAAAAATTAATTTTCCTTCCTACTATGACTGTTCATATGTGAGGGCTGCAGTAAAGTTCATTTCCGCTGATGTGATATGGCACCCTAGACATGCCTTAATGGATGCAGGGCTTAGAAGGTTTTATGGCACCAGGCCAAACGGCTGCAGACAAACACTGCCTTAATATGGGTAGTGATGGCTGTACCCATGTGATGGCATTTCTTCTTGTTTTTGCAGGTCAGCGTATTGTGAATCGGTTGAGAACTTCATTATTCTCCTCTGTTCTGAGGCAGGAGATTGCTTTCTTTGACAAGACTCGCACAGGTGAATTGATTAACCGCCTCTCCTCAGACACTGCACTCCTAGGGCTTTCAGTGACTGAAAACCTCTCGGATGGACTCCGGGCTGGGGCCCAGGCTTCTTTTGGTGTCGGCATGATGGTATGTTTACTGATTTTCACTTGGTGCCTTCTGGCTGAGGCTTGGCCTATGCCAACCTCTCAACCATGAAATGAGCTTCAGGTGCACTGTTCCTCATTATTCTGTGAGCATGCAAACCAGGAGCATGGCCACAGGGCCGCAGATCACTTTCTCCTCTGTGATCTCTCTGTGCCTGCTGTATCTTGCTAAAACTTGAATCCATTGATCCGCAAACGACAACTCTAACTCTCCTTCCACTTGTTATTGCTATGTACTCCCAGCCCTCTTTTAACTGTCTTTGTATGTGGGGTTTTTTTAGTTTTTCTGCCATCTTGATCTCTTGCCATCCAGTGGGATGTGTTGCTCTGATTGTTTAGTGCCCTTGAGGTGATCCAGAATTGAATGTAGGTAGTCTTTGACTTACAATGTTTTAGAATTATGACAAACCATCTGGTCTTTGTTTTTTGGGATTTTTTTTTCTTTGATAAATCTTATCATTAGTAATATATACTACATGAAATGTTGCAGCATGTGGTTTGCTGATGTTATCATTCTCAGATGTTAACTTGCAGATGTTCAGTGTTATGATTTACCTTTCAAAACACTGCCGTATAGCAGGCTATGAAAACAGAGGAGGATAAAGAGGTATTCAAATTATGTCAGAACCAACTTACTCAAAACAGAACTCCATCTTAAGTGGAGGACTACCTGTATGGAATTCCTGGTCTCCTCCTTATCTGTAATAGAAAACCTGGTCTAATGAGTACAGGATTGGTCCATGGTTACAGTATTTCCATTCTTTCTGCAGAAGCTCTCTATCAGATGACTTCTGTATGGCATGCCAAGTATTCATTGGAATGTTTGAGAAAACATCTGAAAAGTTCTACCAAAACAGGCTGTACATAGTGATGGAAATATTGCATTGATTAATGGTAGAGTTTCACAATTGATTACTATAATTTCTGTCAATAAGTTGTATACCTGCGAGATTTCCAGCAAGACAGTAGAATAGGCAGACAAGCTCCACAGACCCTCCACAACAAAGAAACAAGAAACCAGTTGGAACAGATACGGAAGATGTTCTTGGAACCCTGAGCTTCAAAGGGAAGGATAAAGAAGTGGATTAAATACTGACTAGTAGAAGAAAAATACCACTACTACAGTATGACAGACTGGCAGACGAGTGGTGGTACTATATGATGAAGAACCAATAGTATGGACGGAAGAAATCCAAGCTGTACTGAAGGAATTGGTGAAAAACAAGGCCCTGGGAATTGACGGGATACCCAGTAAGATGTTTCAACAAAATGATGTAGTGCTGGAGGTGCTCACTCATTTATGCCAAGAAATTTGGAAGACAGCTACCTGGCCAAACGACTGGAAGAGATCCATATTTGTGCCCATTTCAAAGAAAGGTGATCCAACAGAATGTGGAAATTATCAAACAATATCATTAATATCACACATAAGTAAAATTTTGCTGAAGATAATTTAAAAATGGTTGCAGCAGTACCTCAACAGGGAACTGACAGAAATTTAAGCCAGATTCAGAAGAGGGCATGAAGGAAGGATATCATTGCTGATGTCAGATGGATCTTGGCTGAAAGCAAAAAATACCAGAAAGATGCTTACCTATGTTTTATTGATTATGGAGAGGCATTCGACTGTGTAGATCATAACAAATTATGGATAACATTGAGAAGAATGGGAATTCCAGAACACTTAATTATGCTCATGAGTCACTTGTACGTAGACCAAGAATCAGTCATTTGAACATAACAAGGGGATGCTACATGATTTAAAATCAGAAAAGGGGTGTATCAGGATTGTATCCTTTCACTGTACTTATTCAGTCTTTGTGCTGAGCAAATGATCTGAGAAGCTGGACTATGTGTAAAGAACGTGACATCAGGATTGGAGGAGAACTCATTAATAACCTGCAATATGGAGTTGATACAACCTTGCTTGCTGAAAGTGAAGATAACTTGAAGCACCAGTGAAGATCAAAGACTGTATCCTTCAGTATGAATTATACCTCAACATAAAGAAAAGAAAAATCCTCACAACTAGACCAATAAGCAACATCATGATAAATGGAAAAAAGACTGCATTTGTCAAGGATTTCATTTTATTTGGATCCATAATCAATGCCCATGGAAGCAGCAGCCAAAATATAAAATGACATATTGCTTTGGGCACATCTGCTGCAAAAGACCTCTTTAAAGTGTTAAAGAGAAAAGATGTCACTTTGAGGGCTAAGGTGCACCTGACCCAAGCCACTGTCTTTTCAGGACCCTCATACATGTGCGAAAGCTGGACAGTGAATAAGGAAGGCAAAGGAGAATTGATGCATTTGAATTGTGATGTTGGTGAAGAATACTGAAAATACCATAGACTTCCAGAACAAACAAATCTGTCTTGGAAGATGTACAACCAGAATGCTCCTCAGAAGGAAGAATGACTGGACTTCGTCTCACATATTTTGGACATTTTGTCAGAAGAAACCAGTCCCTAAAGAAGGATATCATGCTTGGTAAAGTGGGGGGTCAGTGAAAAAGGGGAAGACCCTCAACAGGATGGATTGACAACAATGGCTGCAATGATGGACTCAAGCATAACAAAGATTTTGAGGATGGCACAGGACTGGGCAGTGTTTTATTCTGTTGTACATAGGGTTGATATGAGTCAGAGCTAACTCAGCAGCACCTAACAAGAACAACAACAATAGAAAAACCTGAATGAAAACAGTGAATAAGGAGACAAACAGCTGTAGATTGTCAACTGGTCTGATGATGTGGCCATTTTGACTATTTGCAAGCAGCCTTCCAATCTAGGCAGCAACCTGATAATAGAACTCTCACTGCCGTTGAGTCGGATCCAACTCATAGCAACCCCTTCTTGGGTTTTGAGTCACTATCTCTACAGAAGTAGATTGCCCAGCCTTCTGGTTAGCAGTCAAATGCCTTAGGCACTACACCACCAGAGCTACCAACCTGATAATGTTGTTGTTGTTGTTATGTGCCCTCGAGTCGGACCCCGAGTCGGACCCCACTCACTCTGAAAGTAGAGTGTCCAACCTTCCTTCCGAGGAGTGGCTGGTGGGTTTGAACCGCCAGCCTTCTGGTTAGCAGTCAAGTGCCTTAAGCACTATGCTACCAGAGCTCCTAACCTGAAAATAGGCTCTGTTCATTGAGGACTGCTCAGGCAACCACACTGGTAGCTGTTGACCAAAAGCAACCATGTTCACATAACTCAACCACACCCACACCTCCTGCAGCCCCACCCACCGGAGAGGGCCACAACCTGCTTCTGCATCTGATGATCAGTGATAGATGAGGGCCAATACCAGCCTAATCCACCTTCAACTGCTCTAGGCAAACATCTAACAGAGATCTGTTCACACATTCTCATCCTTAACCCCACTCACCAAGAGACAAGTGGTAAGTGCCTAAATGCCACCAAACTAGTGAATAGAGTAGCATACTAGTCCGCTCACTTGGCTATATCAAAACAAACAAACAAAAAACCTGAGCTAATCACACCAACATTCATTAACCAATTAAATATAAATACAGTGACAGCACAATGTCGTGGAGATAACTGACAAATCCCAGTTCACACAAAGAAGCAAGATAAAATAGTACAAACAAGGGACCAGAATGTGGAGCCAGAAAACCTCCCCGAGGAAGAAGTGGCAGTGGAATTACCTGATAAGGAATTCAAAAGAATTATGTTTAAGTACCTTCGATGGATTGAGAGACAGATGAAGGAGAACAATGGCAAAATTAAGAAAAACACAGGCAAAACTGTAGAACAGCTTTTTGAAAAATGAAAAATTAGAAACCATACAAAAACAGCAAATATAAACTAGATGATTAATACGAAGATTTCAGAAAAAGATAACACTTTGAAAGGGCAAAGGAGTAGAATCAAATTCAATGAATGACAGAATTAGTAAAATTGAAGGCAAATATCTCAGTTGCTGTTTTGTTAAGGGAACAATCAGAAAAAAGAAAAGACAAAAAAAAGAAGAAAGCCTAAGATTTATGTGGGATATCATCAGGAGGAATAACATGTATGACTAGAACAGGAAGAGACTTTGCTAATATGATGAAAGATGAGAAGATGCCATTTGAGAAGTTCAACAAACCCCAAACAGGATAGACCCCAAAAGAAAATCACCAATACATATCTTAATCAGACTTTCCAAAACCAAAGACAAAGAGAGAATCCTGAAAGCAGCTTAGGAAAAATGAAAAGTCACCTACGAAGGACAACCAATAAGACTAAGCTCTGATTTCTTGGCAGAATAATTTCATACCCATAAAAAGCTGAATAGGCAAAAATAGTGTGATGTATTCGTAACAATGACAGAGAGAGAGAGAGAGAGAGAGAGTAGCTGCTGAGGCTGCTTATATAAAACCAAAAACCTCCTAAGATTAGATTTTTTAGTTTGGAGATTTAGGATCATGCTTCCATGGACCATCTCAGGTAATTGGCTTAATAACCTTTTAGTGCTTCTGTTGTACCTCCTAGTCATTGAGTAGTGCCTGGGGTCTTAAAAATGTGTGAACTGCCATCCAAGACACAACAATTGGTCTCTATTTGCTTGGAGCAACAGAGGAAGAAGGACAGTCAGGAATAGGAGGAGGATACGGAATGTGTGGCTAACTGCCTCCATGAAGAACTGCCTCCTTTTCCCTGAGACCAGAACTAGATGGTCCCTGGCTGCTACTGATGAACAGTTTGATAAAAGATTCTATAGAGGAATCCTGACCAAAAAAGGGGAAAAGGCAGAACAAAATTTCAAATTCTCATGGACTCCAAATATCCTCAAACCATGAAGGTTGAATAAAACTCTGAAACTATTGCTCTGAAATAACCTTTAAACCTTAAACCAAAAATATTCCCAGAAATTGTCTTAAAACCAAGCAATAGTTTAATTTAACTGGTAAAAAATGTCTGTCTTGAGCACTATGCTCTCTTTAGAACTATTTCCATGGGTTCAAATTGCCAACAGTAACTCAAACATTAAATAAGAACCTAAAGGGGCAATGGGGAGCTCTGGTAGTGTAGAATAGCAAAGAAACACTGTTTGATACATTACCGTGCAACTTTATGAATAGTTCGGTTAGGTTAGAAGGCTCTCAGAATAGGACTGGGAAAGAGCTGCATCATCTGAATAAACCCAGCCTTACTCCTATGGATAAGGTAAAGCTTTCAAGAATGCCATTTGCTGATGTGGCACCACTCAAATTGAAGAGAAACAGCTGCAGACATCCATTAATCATCAGAAGATGGAATGTATGAACTATGAATCTAGGA